CTGAAGCAGCAAAATTGAAGGAAAATAGGTCAGTACTGAAGGCTTCCATATGGAAGCAGCTTTGTGTATGTTCGAGTTACAGAGTATTTGTGTCTCAAGCTCTCAGAGAGTGTGATGCGAACCATCTGCCTGTCATCTTTGTCACTACTTGTGCTGAAAGCAGGCATTGTTCAAAGCACTCAAAATGGTCAGTGTGTGCTCAAAGCAGACAATGTTGCGGCACTCCAGTAAGACTCCAGTAAGACTTATTGCTATGTGTTGAAACCAGATTTTTTAAGCACTTAAATCAGACAGCATATGTGTTGAAACCTGACATCGCTGGAAGCATAAGAGCAAGTTCGTAGGAGATGGCTTTTAGACACGGCATGTGTGTTTCTCATTGTTTTGGAACAGTGATGACACAAATACTGACCCCTGTACTTTTGAATGAATATTTAGTAAGGCAGCTGGATTTCACACACACAGTGCAAAGTCTTGAGCTGCCTCTCATTTCTTTATATTTTGCTAGGAAAATAACAACAGCAACTTATTGAATCATGTTCAAAAATACCAACGTTTAACAGAGAAAACCCCAATAATCAGATGAGCCCCACAAGTAAGCACTTTAGCGACAGTGGGAAGGAAAAGCTCCCTTTTAAAAGGAAGAAACCTCTGGCAGAACCAGGCCCAATGAGGGGCTGCTAACTGCTGTGACTGGTTGGGGGGAAGGGGAAGAAGACAGAACAAAGGTACACTGTGAAAGAGAGCCAGAAATGAATAATAACTAATTAAATGTAAAGTGATGTATGAATACACGAGTGAAAAAAAGATGAGTGAAGAAGCAAACACTCATTATGAGAGGATCCCAGCAGTGTAGGCCACCTGATCCAGCCCTAGCTATATGCTTTATCAAAAAGGAAAGTTTTAAGCCTAATCTTGAAAGTAGAGAGTGTGTCTGTGTCCTGAATTGGCAGCTGCTTCCACAGAAGGTGGCCTGGAAGCTAAAGGCTCTTCTTCTGATTTTACTCATAGTTTTCCAGTGTTATTGAAGGACATTCAAATAACTATTGGCTGCCTTTTGTTACTTTCTCTATCAACATGACCCCACACTGCTTCATTATTGTTCAGGTTGGGCTCTGGGGAGGCCAGTCCAATTCAGTTCAATGTATTTATATAGTGCCAAACCAAGACAACAGTCACCTCGATCCATCACTGATAGTGTTCCATTGTGTGTTTCCACTGATGATGGTTTGATGCAGACACATCTCTCAGGTCCTGTCAGGTCATTGCTGCATTTTTCATATTTTTTTCACACACCGTATTTCTGTATGACTATAGGGTGCACCTTTAATTTTCTCAAATTCTCAAATCATTTAATCCGATGCGCCTTACAGTCTGAATAATACGGTACTCTTTATCTCCTGTAGATGGCTGTTTTTAGACCTGTCTTTTCTGTCTGTCACAAAAGAGAATTCTTTTGTTCTCCACTTGTCCACCACCACAGTTTTTTCAGTTTTTTTAAGGACAGACTGCACACCATGCTAAGAAACACATGGAAGTTTGAAGTTTTGTGCTAATAGTTATTTTATATCTGTCTGTGTTGTCTTGACATTTTTCCATAGATTCAAATAAAGAAATTCCAACAAATTGTGTGTTTTTAAAACAGGCTGCAAGTAACAAATTTCCTGAAGATATCATTTGAAAGTGGTTGTTTCCTAAGTTGTCTATTATGAGTAGACACAAGACTGGTTCATTCCTTGAGTTGGTCCCTGAATGCTTGAATGATTCATAGGTCAGTGTTAAATCTAACAAAAAGAAAGAAAAAAATCCTCTGAAAAACAGGAACAAGGTAGGGCTGAAATTGAGTGAAAAAATTAGCCAACGTCCAAAGAAAAACCTTAAGACCTTAAAAAGGTCTGCAGAACTATTGCTCAAGACCAATTTTTAAAAAATTACAAGAAAGTCTGGCTCCTTGGAAGCAACAAGTAATGAGGGGTGACTTTTGCACAATAGTGTCTGTTGATTTGTTGAAGAAAAAAAAACACTTAAAGGCAAATTCTTTTTGCCACTTGAACTATGAGGGTTTCCACACCACCCTAAATACGTAGACATGGAGTTAAAAAACAAATATGTTTAGAAATAATATAAAACACAGCTAAGTGTTAGAGAACTTTTACAGTTTTGTAACAGCCTCTCCCATAGCCGCTGACATCAGTGGCTCAATCTTTGGGCCAAACAGAAAAGAAAAGTCACTGGCACTGCTGTTGCCAGCTGTTTTGCCATTTTTATGGTGGATACGGCTTTTGTACTGGTTTCTCAGGGAAAAGATTATAGAAAGCACATTTCAAGTTTTCAGCATTCCCTGTCAACTGAAGCATTGTTCCTTTTGACAGTGGTGTAATGCATGTGTGTGTCATATTTGTGTTAGATCTGAAGTGTTACAGCTGCTGTTTTCTGTCATGACCAAAGCAACAGAGCCATAAATCAAATAACCTGGCGGTCTCCAAGTACTTGACTTATTGCACGGATAGATTATTTGGATTTCTGTGTCTGATTTTCTTGGATGCGTTTCACTTTCTTTGATATAAACATTGAGACGACTTTGAGCTTTGAAAGATTTTCTTCGTATTAATTTCGAACAAATGTTTGCCTTTGCAAAAGGATTTCTTACTGGTATGAATAATTGCTTCAGACATGTGGATTTAAGACATACACGATAAATTCATACAAGCGAAATAAATAATCTTCACAAAAATCTTTACTGTTTATGGAGTAGCTTTAAAATCAATTCAAGGCGGTTGTATGGAAACAGGTAACTTTTACTCTGAAAGAAACAAAGCCGTGTTTTGTGTCTGTATGTGGAGAAGGAATTTATGTGGGTAGGGGGGGGGGAGGACCTTAGCACTAATTGGGGAAAACATATAATAGCACATTTTGTGGTGAGCATTTGGGCCATAACAGTGCCAGAGTGGTTAGCTGGAACACACCCCTGGAAATGGGTCAAAACATGCAGCATGATATCTACTCGGTGGCATTTTCTTCTTTTCCTTCTCTTTCTCCCTTCCTTGCCATCCATACCAGTTTAATCAACGTTATGTCAATCCCTCGTTATGCTCTTCTTCCTGCCCTCTGTGCTAGTGAGCGGTGTTGAGTGATGTTGCGTGTGTTGAGCTAATATGACTATAAAAGGTTGGGGCCGCAGAGCCTTAACGCTAATCCGGGTGCAGAGCCTCTTTTATTAGCCCTGCTTGTGTCTGTCTGTATTTGTGTGTGCTTGTGTGTCTGTGAGAGAGCGAGAGACAAAGATAAAGGCAAAGGAAACACAGGTAAACCCATATTACACTGTCCTATCCTTGACTGTCATTCTACACTTGAAGTGATATATAGTCAGGGAGCAGGAGACGCATTTGTTTTTAAGAATCTTCTACAAAAGTGTGCTTTTTTGTGTGTGCTGTTAGGGAAGTGGTCTGTGTGGTGTCAAAAGAAACAAATGACCTCACTCCACTTTGGGCACACTTAGAGCCTCTGTGTGACCAATAATGGACAGAACTACATCTGCAAGGCGTTGCTATTCAGTCCCATATAATTAACAACAGAACTTACAAAAAGCTAGTTGCTTAATTTAGTTGCTTAGAATTAAAAATTTTATCAATATTTTTATGTAGATTGTGAATTGAATATTTTTAAGTACCTTCATGCTCAGTTTTTAGAAAATGTTTTGGTCAGAGAAGCAGTAATTTTCAAAAATCATCATATACAATATTTCACTGCTAATAAAAATATTAGATTGTTCATTTTACATGAGTGTGTAAAAGTACATTTAAGTTAATCTGTCCCTGGTAAAGTATGTACACTCTCTTACATAACAGCACATAACACATAATTTGAAATGTATCAGAAAGGAACAGGCAGCACTGTGCGCAGTCCATGAAAAATCAAGAATGTATAATTAGACGCTCAACCAAATGATCTGATTGTATTTTCATGTGGCGTTAAGCTGATTTGTGTGCATGCTAAATGCTTAGCTTGTTTACAAAATATGCACCTGTGTATGTTGAAGCCCATTTGAACAGCAGAAGGACATTCAGTACCAGATCATTGTTTTTTGTTTTTTTGCTTGAATCTGTTTCAAATTAACCAACTTCCTCCAGAGCGGAGTGATTAAAGACTGTTTACATATTTAAGGTGTAGCTTGAAGATGAAGGAATACACTGAAACACGGAGACGAGTATGTAAATTTTATGATGCGTGTAAAGTGAGAAATGTCTGGCTAATAATTACTGTTTCCTCAAAGCCCATAAAAATGGTATGTGCACACCACGGAGTGTCCCATTATCTGTTTGTCACCTTTTTAACAACATTTTGCATGGTGGATAATTGCGTTATTGCTTTTTACTGACACTAAATTCACTTTACTTCATCTTTATTGCACAGTAGTGCTTAAGAAAGTGTAAAATTTAGCTCCTTTTTTTGTTCAAAGAGGCAGATATCACAATATCATACCACAAACCTTTGTGTTACACTGATTCTGTTTGCTCTAAGCTGTAAATACCTTCTTGCATTATCAATTCGTGGCATGTTCCCAACTCGCATACCTACTGTAATGTATGGAGCAGGCATTAAAAATGAATAAGAACAAATATCTTTAAATGATAAACAGCCATGTTCATTCTTTCTTTTTTTTACACTGTGGTTGAGAACCTTTGAACTCTTTTCTCTAACAAGCTGCAAGGCCATTAAGACAGCACACAATAAAGAACACACAAAAGTAATTTAATCCTGCAGGCTCCTGCTATTAAAAACACATCAGTGAGCCTAAAGTAGACCCTCCATCATGTGGTGCAGAACCTAGGTCTTTCATTATTTTTCTCTAAATAGTCATGCAATAGAAGAGATCCATAAATCCTCTGATAAACACAGGCTGAATGTGGACATCCGACATCACCTTGACCCACCGGCCAGCTCAGTAATCCCGATATTTCCAGCAATTCATGCTGCTTGTGGTTTTTGTGTTTCTGCAGCTGACGGATGGCGGAAAGGCAGCGAAAGGTGGTATTGCTGTTGGAGACATGGTTCTTTCCATTGATGGCATCTCCACGGACGGCATGAACCACCTGGAGGCCCAGAACAAAATCAAGAGCTGCACTGGCAACCTCAGCCTCACTCTGCAGAAGTAAGCCATGACCTCACGCTCTGTGTGTCTGAAGTTGTTAAGCCAAACCCTAGCCACATCACCTTGAAATGATTTAATGCGTGAACCTGAGTGGGTAGACATTTATCACCATGACAACACAGGATCCGCGCACTCCCTTTCAGTTAGTCCCAAACAACCCAGTTGTGCATCAGATTTAAGGTCCATGCTTCCCCTTTCAACCCCAGACATCCTGCATCCAGGCAGATTTTCACTGTTGTCGTAGGAGATAATCTTGCTCTAACACACAGCGACGCCATTAGTTCTGCCTGATCGCTTGTCCCCTGAAGGGAAGCGGGAGAGCTAAAATCGCATGGAGAGCATCAACATGTGGCCCATCACCTCTTCCCCCAAGGCTTACTCCTCACTGTCTGGTGGAATCCTGTACATCGGAGCTGAATTATCTCAAGAATTTCTGTTGTAGTGTGTGTGTGTATCAGTGCGTCTAGATCATAGTGGATCTCATGTGGTTCAAATTGTCTGTTTTTTGGCAGCACTTGTAGGCATATGTGTGTTTTTTATTTAAGCCCAGTGAGATATTCAGGGCTTTTACACTTGTACTTTTCGATTAACGGTGAAGAGGGAAATGCTAACCTTTTTTTGTTTGTTTGTTTGCGTGTTTATTTGTGCCTCTGCATCTCTGCCTCTCACTCAATTCAGATTTTACATTCAGTCCTCTCTTGGTCATTTTCCTTTTTTTTCACCCCTCACTTTATGTGAGCCTAACACAGGATGTCATCTAATTTGTGTCCAAATGATGACAGACCATAGATGTTTACTTTTGGTTGAGTGGTGGAGAGCACACACACTAATATTATAAGGCTTTCCGCTTCTCAAGGACAGAGTGTGGGCTAGCGAGTGTGCATGTGTGTCAGTGTGAGCAACAGAGATTCACGATCTAGTTCTATTTTATGATGAGAGAAACAGGTCTTAGAATAACACTTGGCTAAGATGGATGGCTTGGGGCAAGTCGCAAAGTTTTCCTGACAACGATATGGAAGCCACTGAAGCTGAAACCAAAATTATTTTGCAGGAAGCGGTAGCTGTCATTCTATCCTTGCCTTAAAGTTTGTTTAGAATATATCCTCCAATCTCTCAGCAAACTGATAAAACACCACGATAGGTTTCTCACTGACTGATTTCCCTGACAGTTACATACAGATTAGTCAAGACACTGTCAGACTGGACAGACAACGCTCATAGCAGCAAGCAATCAAGAAGTTACTGCACCCGAGGTTAAGAGATCTTCCAGCATATAACATTTTTATGGGACCACAAGTTGTTGTTGTTAGAGAGCATGTTAAAACACACCATTCAGCTATTAACTACCACGCAGCTGGATGATATCGAGTATCATTAATTTTACCAGTGGTAAAAAACATGTGGCCGTATTTTATTATGAAAGCTGCGCGATTAGAGGATATCTTTGGGGACAGTTCATTTGAGATTGACAGCAATTTGTGTTCCTTCTCCAAACACCGTTTACCATGAGAAATAAAATCAGAGTGTCTGGGTTTCTCTGTGTTTGATGGCTGACATTAACTGGCCCTTTGATTGACGTAGTCTGTGTTCAAAATGTTTCATCCCTGGGTCAACATGTGGTCCATCTTTAATGGGTTTGCATGAATAATGGAAAGAACCAGTCTAGTCCCTTGTTTCTGTTAGCGTTTATAGGTTATCGCCCATTCGTCGTTCCTTTTTTTCCTGTTTGACCACACATTTTGATTGGCTTTGTCACTGGGTCAAAGAGCAAAAGGAATGAGAGCAGTGCGGTGATACAACAATGCATGTGGTGTCTGTATGTGTGTATTTTGAATGGGAGACTGCTTGTTATTCGTTTTCCAAATAAAGAGGTGGATGTGGAGAAGAGATGGACAGCAGATGTGTGAAGAACAAGAAGAGAAAAGCTGTAAAAGTAAAGTTGTCTCTACAAGGCTGTTAAATTGACATGAAGCTAAATATGTCCAGGCTACAAAATTTTTTTTAAGGATGGCAAATATAAAGAGCCAAATTATCCTGGCACTGACTGACCTCTTCATCCAGTAAAAAGCTGGAACAGAACTGGGATTTATTAACTGTAAATGCATGAATGCAAATACCATGGTTACCAGGGAAATCATCACACACGAACATTCATTTAGTTGTCTGTGAGAGTTTCTTTATTTCTTGGGGGGAAAACATTACAGTGAAGCAAGCAGTGCCAAAATGGCAAGCAGCAGGTGCCAAAACAACATCAGTGGAAATTTCTTGCTGTTCCGTCTATCCCAGCTCAGATCAATCACTTTAAACTGATCAGAGCAAGAAAAAGTTGAGCCAGCTGGAAAAGTTCAAATGAATAACCCTGTGCATAAAGAAAAAAGTAAAAATCTCTAGAATGAGCAACAGGTGAAAGATTAGTATTATCAGCACTTTTTGATCAGTTTTTCTTGCTAAAAATGTTATAACGTAGTGGCTTTGTACTTTGTAGAAAGAAACTGACTACTGCTAAGTTCTTAAGTAAAGGATTAACTACGAGTACTTTTGTCAAGTCTTGACGTACTGAAGTTTGATGTTTTATTGTAAATGTAAATTAAGTCATACTTTGTGGTTTTCATCTCTGCACAAGGAGCCGATTATATTCAGCTGCAGCTGGGCATATCTCCCTCGGTTTGAATTCAGTTACGTTGCTGTGGGTCTGCTACCTTATCACAATGTGGGTGATCAGTTCTGCAGACTTTTAAACATCATTTAAATCTTTAATCCAATCTTTAAGAAGGTTTTTGTTTATCCTTTTATATTTTAATGGCAGACTGAAAAAATTAATTTCCCTGAGTTAGTGAATGCTGACAAAAGTGAGTATAAATCTAGTGTTTGTTTGTTTAAAGCTTCAGTCTTTGCCTGATTTGTTTTTCTGGTCTAGGAATGCACTTTGTATTGTTATATGAATAATAGCTTTCAAAACACACTTTTGGTTCTCGATCTTTGGAGGCTTGATGGCCTTTTGTTAAACAGAACCAGTGGTTTTGTTGCACTCCTGCTGAGAAAGCTTGGTAGAGACACTGAAAAGAAAGAGAAAAGGCTGAAAATGAGAAAACACAACACCTAAACAGAGATGGAGACTGATTCTTCATCACTGTTTACCTGAGATCTTTGCTTGCAAGTTAAGACATAATTCACCTTGCGTAATGTCACCAGGCGAGAATGTTGAAACGTCACTACTCCTTGTTTAGATTCATATATCTCTATAAAACTATACTAGGATTTGATACGCACAGCTGTGGAAAAAAAATGCAGCCAAGTTTCTGGGAGTTTGTTTTTCATTTCTTTTCTTTTTTTTTTCAATGAATCGTTTTTTCCGTTCTTATCTCCAGCGTCAAACTGAATCCCGGTTGATGAGACCAATAAAAACACCCAATATCTTGTTTGCTAAATGGGTTGTTTTATTGTGGGGAAGACATGTGGCGCACATGTGTGCATAGCACACTCACACACATACCACGCATGAACGCAAATAGACTTTCAGAGAAATGGTTGGTTGGGTTTTGGTACACTCCTTTCAATTTACAGGGTTGCAATCTGTAAAATAGTTTCTCGATTAATCACGGAGTCTATTGGTTGTGGACACAACACAACTTTGCCGAATCCTAACTGACATCTTTAAACTCCTTGTTGTGTTTGACCATCAGTCCAAAGCGGAAACATTTACTAATATTTCTAAACATTTAGAATTACAAATGATAGAAGCCATATGTGGTTGTGTAACGTAGCTTCTGCATTCTAAGTGACTGAAGCACTTACAATAGGTGTAGCTTATTTTTCTCTCCGCTGACTAATTTGTGGCTGCTTGATTCATGAGTCTTTCTTTAAAAGCAGGGATAGGTGCCAGAGGAAGGCATTAAAGAGGGAAGACAGGATAAAGTAGGGTAGGTTGAGGAAGGTGTAAAGAATGAACAGTAGTGCTGAACTAGAGGTTTGAATGCAGGGTGGAAGGAAAAGGTAAGACAATGTAGTTAGACTTTGTTGTTTTAGAAATGACTAAGGCAGAAGGACATTTCCTTCTTGCGTGATGGCTTTGTCCTGAAGGGGTCCCACTGGTGAAGTGTAATACGTTTCAGCACTTAAATTCACCTCTTTAGCGATATCATTATTTTCTGTAAAGGAACACCAAAGGATTAAACTCTTCATTTCAACCAATTACCCCGTGCCTCAACAAAACCACCTTTGTATTTCACTGTTACGCACTTCGACTGCCAGTGTCTGGCTAAATGGTTTATTCCCCACAGTAAAGTCCTTTCGAAGCCCATTTGACTATTTAATGGACCCACGTTCATGTGTGTGTTTGAATGTTTTTCTCTAGTAATGGCACAGTGTCAAGGCCCCGATGAGATTGTTAGGGGAGAGAAAATGAAACACAGTTGACCTGATGTACCTACATCAACACAGGAACACTCAGCAATTGCATTATTTAGATCATGCAAAGAAGACAGGATTTAAAGCAGCTTTTGTGTTGTGCTAAGTTAATTTTGTTTTCTTCTTTAATCAGCATGGCGATCTCCAACTGTTGAAAGCGCCTCAAACAGGATAATTGCAGTGTTTGACAAGCCTTTTCTTTGTTGCAGAGTTTCTAAATAGTGGTGGGGTCATGACATACTTTTCTAAAAGCTCTTATGCATGAATGTAGAAGGCCACACAAAAAGACCTTAATAAGGGATAGATAAACAAAATCAGATATGAGATTTCTTGTATGTCTCACGATATTGCTGCAGATGTGCTGTTGATGTTTTACTACAGCGGGACTGACCCCTTCCCCCACAATGCACAAGCATGCACATAAGTCAGAAGGGGATGTTTAGCTCACCTGAACACCCTATAATAAATTCACACTCATTCTCCATTGACAGAGAACAGCAGTGGTCTGCACACCTAATCGTCTACTCCTTCCATGCGCAGAAACCCTGCAGACAGAGTCACACACACTCGAGCACACATACATGCACAGAGCT